CGGTCAGTGCAAAAGACAATCGGGCAACTGCAGCCTATCCAATGTTTCTGGGCTGAAACGACACTGCCCTCTTCATCAAGAGCATTGGCGTGCACGGGGACGTGTTTTGGAAAAGGCAGCCATACTACGGAAAGCATACAATGTTGCACCAACATGAGTAAAAATTCAAGATGGGGGAAAGGATTCCAAGATCTAAATTTTTTAAAGAGAATTCGATTTTAACATGTTCCAAATTGTAATATAGTACATTCTGTGGGACGTGGTTGTCCGTGAATGTTCCCTTAGAACCACCTTCAACCCTCGCTTTGTTTGTGTCCGTTTGGTTTGAATGAATGATTGACATGTTTCCAATTTTTATGACACTATTATGTACTCCTTGTATTGTACACTTTCTAGTACTCTCATCACACTGCAGAAGTGTACAGTATCCTGTACGATTTTTTGGTCCAAACACAACATTCATGCTTTGTTTCACTTTACTCATACAGATTAGCACTAGAAAACAGATTTTACCATTTAAGTGGAGGCCCAACTGGCCCACACTAGCTCATTCCATTACGTAGTATCTTGGGTAAAAACTATTCAGGTGTGAAAAAAAAACACAAAAATTTGGCAACTGCACATTTGTGTAAGCTGTGTCAAATTCTCTACCTATGAAGACACCACCTGAAGTGCACCAGACGTGTTGATTATTCAGAGTTTCCTCACCTACCTATTTTTTTCCATAAATCATCAGAACTTTCTGTGGTGCCTCAGTGAAACATATGGGGTACACGTACATAGCATTGCAATTTCTTTAGCGATGCAATGACAAATTTTTTTTAATTTCGAGGTTTATTTTATACTAGGAAGTTTAACCAAATGAGAAACATAATGAACAACCATGCACTTGCATACAAGTACCAAACACAGTACTGTACAAACTTGATACACCTCCATATTTTGTGTAAATAAAAATTTGTTTCACGTGGAACACTGTTCACTGCAAAAAAACCTGTCAATAAGTGCAGTTCAAGCGTGCCTAACGACACCTTCCCTAGTTAAACTGGACTTTCCCTTTAGCGCAGCTCGTCCTCTCTTAAAACAACATAGTCATGCCCTACAATGACCGATAGCCCATAAGTGCAATAACGACAGATATCTTTGCAATTTCAAGATATGTTTATGTAACGTAGAAACTTGAGATATTGAAATAAAGAATAACTAACAAATACTTCGTCTCATCCTAACATCAACTAGCCTGTGAGGTTACAAGCGCGAGCTCCTTGCATTGAATCATACTACCTCGGCTGCACGAGCGCACGTTCACCGGGAGTACCACAGCTACTCGTTCACGATTGTAGGCTTTGCAGTTAGTCCATCTCAGGATGAAAAGAAGTGTAGAAGAAAGTACATTCAAGTCGACACACTTGCGAGAGCAGCTGCTTAACCACACAACACAGATATAATAAATAATGTACAATGACACAAATCTCAATTGACTCCTGAGTGCAATGTGTTGCCTCTGCTACACTGTACTTGTACCACTTGTACACCAAGAGGGGCGGTTACTGTGCAGCGCCAAAGAAAATGTGTTTCTGGAGCAATTTCTTGATTTTGTATGCGTCAGCAAATATATACATTGTTAATGACTTCAATATAGACCTGTCCACTGTATCTGCTTCGCAAACTCTATTTACCTCTATTCTCGAATCAAATGGTTTTAACAATTTAATCGAATGTCTAACATTTGACCTCTTCATAACAAATAATGATAATGAACATGGGTATTCTGGCGTAATACTCAGTGATGTCAGCGACCCTTTCACCATTTTTTTTTTCATTTATTAGAAACTTTCGCAGTAAAACATCAATACCACTACAGGAACCAATATTTGCTCAACAAATGAATGCCCAAAGATTGGACGTTTTTTAATGCCATAGGTAATACTGACTGGAGCTTAGTATACATAAAGAAACAGCAGATGAAGCTCATAACATTTTCTTGTCTTCTTTAACTAGGATTCATGAAAATTGTTTTTCATATAACAAATAGAGAAAAGCAAAAAGTCGAGAACGCCATGGGTCACACCTGAACCAGTTCGTAAAATAAACATACCGTAAAAAAAATCTTTTTAAAAAATTTATTAAAAACAGGGATCCAAGTCAATTATGTGATTATAAATCTTTCCGTAACAAACTGAATTCCGTACTGAAACATGCTAAATTGAATTACTACAGTTGAACCTCGATGTAACGAAGTCGGTAAAATTCGCAATTTACTTCGTTACATTGAAATTTCGCTAAATCGAAATTTGGCTTTAGCATGCAAAAAAAAAATTCCGAAACATTTTACGGGTATGAAAACTCACCGAAAATGACATTTATTTAGGGGCGAAGTAGTCCGCGAGTTTTGCTTGCGCCTTGTCCGACAGTAGCAGCGGCGTCATACGGCGTTCGAGCGCCCAGAGCGCTTGCACGGCATCCTGCTGCCCATGCGACGCCGTGTACCTCCTCAGTACGTCCATTGCGTCGAGCACTTCCCGAGTGCTCGTGATCTCGGCAGTTTCTTCAGGATGGCGTCCAAAACGTTTGCTTTCTCATCCAAAGAAAGAACTTTACGTTTCCTTATGGCAGCAAGCACGTAAGTGAACCGCCCGGTTAAAAAATAAAGCTGTTTAGTTTAGGCAGTTTAGGCGGTGCCAATGTTTCCAACCTACACAGCACTCTTCACCGCACAGTTTACTTGCCCCCTTGCCACCCTTGCCCCCACAGTGATGCTTGCGCCGCTTGCGCCCACGCTCGCAAGACGATAATCGGTCTTTTCGGTCTTCTCCTAGATGGCACTGCCCGTGCGGTCGCGCCATCACGTCGCTCCCCCGCTGAAGTTGGCTCCCGCGCTACCCGCGGTGCAGTGGAGTGGACTATGGTTATCAGTGAATGTCAGTGGTGATGCTGGTATGCCGTGTTAACTTTTTGCTCGGCATTTTCTGGCCAGCCTCGCGGAATCCGCTTTGCCGCATGCCTCGCCGGCGCTACCGGCGCCGCATCCTCGGGCAGCCTAGGAACGTTGGAAGGCCTGTCCCCGTGAAGTAACCTATCAAGCGCTCGCGTTTGCGCATAATTTTTTTTTTTAACCACAATTTTTTTGCGAAGTTGTTTTTTAGAGTTGATTTATTTATTGCCTTCTATGGCAATGGCACTTCGTTATAGACTTAGACTTCGTTATATAGAGACTAAAAATACATGGGGTCTATGGGCAAGAAATTATGAAAAATAAAATACTTCGTTAAATCGAAGATTTCGTTACATTGAAGTTCGTTATATCGAGGTTCGACTGTATAACAATCTGTTCAATAATACCGTAAGACAAAAGGGAGATATTTTATGGAAACTCAAATTTTATAAAACCAGTTGAAAAATGTTCTCGTTATAATGTTGAACTAGATGGAAGCAAACTGCCCGACTTACAGGTTGCTACCACTTTTAATGATTACTTCGTAAATTTGGTACAACCAGCAAATTATAGCATAGATCCGTCGGTAACATCGCGATATGTTCCTAATGAATCTACGTTTTTTCCTACTACAATAAGTGAAGTGATTAGCATGTTCCTAAATCTTAAAAACTGCTGATCCCAGAACATAAGTGGATTGCAAATTAAACCCATCAAATATGCCATTGATATATTTGCTCCTCCTGTCACGTACATTTTTAACCTCGTTTTAACAACCAGTGTTTTTCCAAAAGTGCAAAAGGCAGAAGTAACGGAGCTGCACAAAGGTGGTGACAAAAACAACCTCACTAACTATAGGTCGATATCAATTTTACCGATACTGTCTAAGGGTCTTGAGAAAATAATTCATTCAAGACTAACCAACTTGCTTAGCCCTTAAAAGCCCAAAGGGAATATGCTTCCCACTTCGAAAAAGGCGCCATAAACAACTGATGCAAATTTTTTATTTTTTCTGTATTGTGGCGCCATCTAGCCACATGCCTAACAAACTACACAAAATTATTTTGAAGGTTTTCGGTGCATCCACTAGGCGGCGAGAATGGTTTTTTTCCGGCAAGGTGGCATGGCTTCGGCTCTTTGTGCTCGTACAATTTGCCGAAGAAACTTTAGCCTGAGGACGGCAAAAAACAACTTCTAAAGGTGCATATATTTAATTAATGTCTCTACGGCATCTCGTGCATCGATTTTAACCACTTATAAGCATGTTCATTGCGTTCATTAGATGCTGTAATGGTTTTTCCCGACCATAGGTGGTGGGAATATATTTCCCTATGGGCCTTTAGCAGAACATTATACCTGCGCTTGTTTCTCCACAGATGTCGAAGTTCTTGTCAGTGGACAAGGCACTGGATGTCTTTTTCTCCCTGCCTGATGACCCAAACCAGTCAAGTGACAGCGAGGAAGTAGAAGACGGCGACGATGTTCCGTCGGGTGCGGTAACCCGTTCGGAAGTCCAGCCGAGTAGCACAGCGTCACAAGGAGCAGCACAGGTGAGTGCGTATGATGTGCACTCAAGTGATGACGCCAGTGATGATGAAGAGACTGCAAGTGAGTGGACAATACGTTCGCTTCCCCACCGAAGCAACATTCCCGATTATTGCTGCCAAACACCTGCAACTCCTAAGCTTCTTCCAACGCACACGCCAATAATGATCTTTGATGCCCTGTTCGGAGGTGCTTTGACCATACTCGTTGAGCAAACGAACATATACGCCAAAGAAACCAAAAAGAAAGCTTGGCAGGATACCGCAGCTGAAGAAATGAAAGGATTCCTAGATATTCTCATCAGAATGGGCATTCTTCAACTTCAAAACAGACGGGACTACTGGTCCACGGACAGCGACCTCGGAGTGGCATCAGTTAGCCCAGTGATGCCAAGAGCACGACTTTTTCAGCTTCTTCGATCACTGCATGCCAACGACAACAAGACAGCGACTAGAAAAGGAGACGTCGGCCATGTCCCTTTGCACAAACTTCGACCTCTTATCACAGAGCTGATGAGAGTATGATTCTGTTCAAAGGAAGGAAGTCATTCAAACAGTATATGCCCATGAAGCCTATCAAATGTGGGTTCAAAGTATGGGTGCTTGCTGATGCTACAACTGGCTTTATTAACCAGTTCGAAGTCTACACGGGCAAAGAGGGCGATGGCGGTGGGCTCGGCTACAGGGTAATCCAGAAATTCACTGAGGAACTTGTCGGGACGGAGTGTCTGGTAGTGTTCGACAACTTTTTTAGTTCACCCGAACTCATGCAGGACCTGTTTGACCACGGGATATATGCCGTGGGAACTGTCCGTGCACAAAGAAAAGGTCTTCCTGATGTTGTGAAGAACAAAAAGAAAATCAATGAAGGCGACCACAACTACAAGGTGAAGGGAAATGTTGCTGCGATCCAGTGGCAAGACAAGCGGCTAGCCAACGTAGTAACAACAGACCACGATCCTTCAGAGACGGTAACAGTGGAAAAGAAAAATAAGGACGGGTCAAAGAGAAGCATCAAGTGTCCACTAGCAATTGTGCAGTACACGAAGCACATGCGGGGAGTAGACCGCTTTGATCAGCTGCGAGAGTATCACACCGTTACTCGTAAGTCAAGAATATGGTGGATGCGAATCTTCTACTTTCTTCTGGACTGTGCTCTTGTGAATAACTTCATCCTTTACCAGCTGTCAGAGGGGGAGGCGAACCACCAGAGTTTTCTCCTAATACTTGCACGCCAGTTGGCCAACGGCTATAATGGAAGGAAAAGGTCAGCCACGACCGCTTTTCGACGCGTCTTGCAGCAAGCAAGTACCAACAAAAACCTTGGCGTGCCAGATGAGGTGCACCTGTCCAACGGGCCACATTACCCACAGGGCAAAGCAGCCTACAAGAGGTGTAGGTACTGCTCCACGGCCAAAAATGACAAAAGATCAAAGATCACATGCACAACTTGCAAAGTACACCTTTGTGTGGTGCCCTGTTTTGCCAAGTGTCACCAAGAGTATGTGTGGCACTGAAGGCCCAGAGGGAAGAATATTCCCATGCCCTAATTAATGGCTTTCAATTAGTATTTTCATACCTTTTATTATTTGTGCTTGTGCAGCAATAAACATTATTTCTAGCGAGTTTCATGTTCCTATCACTGATAGAAACATTATGGGCTTTTAAGAGTTAACAAACATAATATTCTAACTCACAATTTGGTTTTCGTAAACACAGGTCGACAGAAACCACACTATTAACACAAAAAGAATGAATTGTTGAAGCATTTAAGAGGAAAGAACTCATACCTGGAATATTTATTGACCTTAATAAGGTGTTTGACAACATAAATCATGATATACTAAACCTTAAGCTTCACGCTTATGGTATTAGAGGAAGCGCAGCATTATTAATTCAATCTTATTTATAGCCTCGGTCTCAATCTGTTTGAATAAACTTTTCTTTTTCTCCACTTGACACTATTACAACAGGTGTGACCCAGGGCAGCACATTAGGCCCTCTTCTCTTCATGCTTTACATTGACATTATCAACATAATGACATCAGCAAAAATAATAGCCTATGCCGATGATATGACTTCTTTTTACTGGTACTGACCCGACTGATATAGCTTCAGAAGCAAGTAGCTCTTTTAGAAATTTGCAAAGATACATCATTGCAAATTGTCTGCAAATAAACCCTTATAAAACTAGAGCGATTTTCTATAGACCCAGAAACAAATTAACTTGTAGGCCAACATATCTTCATTTAGACAACCAGAAAATAGAAGTTGTAAGTGAAATGAAATCCTTGGGTGTTCATTTTACAGAACACCTCACATGGGACTATCATACCATTAATCACATCCGTACAAAGCCGAATGGCTGGTAAATAAATGGGCTGGTAAATAATGCCGAATGCCGAACAAAGCCGAATGGCTGGTAAAAAATGGGCTGGTAAATAAACATAGATACAGCCTACCATGCAATATTAAGAAAATGTTATACAATGGCTCATTTTGTTCCTCACCTAACATATTCTAATCTCCATATGAGGTACAACTAATAAACATAACACACATATCCTCCTTCGTGCACAGAAAAAGTCAATTAGAATAATAGCAAATCTCGCATAGAATGAGAGCACTGCTAATTATTTGCAGCAGTTAAACATCCTAAATATATCTTTCCTTTACAAACTAAGACTCACGTGCCTTTACAGATATGCCCTACTCGCAAATAACACCTTCATAATTGAATTTTTTAATCTAAACAAGCATCTCACAAGCCATAATACACGACATGCAGAACCATGGTTTGTGCCGACATCTCAAACAACATATGGACATGAATCAAAAAGGCACAATCTAGCTTACTTACTAAACAAATTGATTCAATATCACGTCATACTTGAGGTTGTCACCAAGCCCCACGTGATATCCCTGTTTATGACGCTCACTGACACTCACTAACAAAATCTCACGTCTTTTGTTGACTACTGCTCCAATTTTATTGTATGTGTGTAGTTTTGTATTTGTTATTTCATTTGATTTGTAAATGAGTGATTAGGAAACATTGTCATCACTGCTCTCTCTGCCGTTTCAATCGGGGCAGGGACCTCGTCAAGTAGCTGAATGCAGCTTTTTGTCCTTGCCCCTCCGCTCCCTGGAGAGGAAATAAAAAGTATTATATATTTTTTCAATACTCTTATGTGCATGTGTTTATTTTTAGGTTTAGAGTGGCTATGCTATGCTATGCTTGACTTTTTAACTGCAGGGTGGCATCACACAAGCACCTTATTTGCTTTGATGTGCCCGTTTTCTTAAAGAGAGCCGATGTCTGTGGTAATGAATTTATTAGTAGTTGTTGCGGCCGGAAGCGGGAACCCTGGCCAGAGCCGCCAGCCTTCTTCCGGCAAAGCAACAACAATCGTCGAGCGCAACGCCATCACGCCGACTAGGGTCGGACGTCAGTAACCTGTACTCTAACAATGTATTCACGTTTCTCGTCACCTATAAAGAACCCGAGTTACAAAACGTTGTGTTTCCTGACGCGCTAACAATGACGACGAGGATGGGATAAGGAGAGGACAACCGAACGCCAGTACATGAACGTTAAGTGGTGTTAGTCGGTGTGACGGTGGGGCCCGGGAACAAAGGAGAAGCGGTGGCCGCCATGGCGCAAGCTCAAGCCCTCTACGCCGCGCCGATCCAGTATGACCCGGCGGTGGAGCATCGGACAAACTACGTGGAGCGACTGGAGGCATACTTCGACGCCAGCAGGGTGAGGGACGACGGTAGGAAACGTTCGATCCTAATATCCGCTTTTAGCCCGGAAGTTATGCATGACTGCGAAGCTTGGTGGCGCCAAACAAACCGCGAGACGAAACCTTCGACACGATCATGAAAGCGCTTACGCAGCACCTCAGTCCGGAACCGTCCGAGATCTATGAGACGTTCAGGTTCCAGTCACTAAAGCAAAATGAGGGGGAAAGCGTCGCGGACTACCTGGCCGAATTACGGAGAATCGCAGACCACTGCGGTTTTGGGGACGCTCTAGACAACAACCTAAGGGACCTATTTGTCATCGGACGGTGCGAGAAGACGGTGCAGAGGATCCTCCTGGTGAAACCAAAGAAACTTACGCTCAAAGAGGCGCTGGACACAGTGTTGGCGGCGGAGTTAGCAATGCGGAACGCCGACCGGCTTCCTGGCTCAAGTTCGCTACCCACTACTGCGGGGGACGTGAATGCCTTGCGGTTTAAGAAGCACAAGGGACGTCAGCAGGAAACGTCTCGGACGAAGACTGCGCAGCCCTGCATTCGTTGCGGAGACAGCTCTCATGACCAGCCAAACTGTCCACACAAGAAAACGACGGGCTTCACGTGTAACAAGCAGGGAGATTTGGCGAGCCGGTGCTTTCGCACTCAGTCGACACCGGCGGTCAACCGAAAGAAGCAGCAGGCCAACCTGCTCACGGAAGAAGCACAGCTAGGACAGGCAGAGGAGGCTTTCCACTTGTTCACAGTGCACACTCCAAAAGCTACGGTTGATTCAGTCAACGAAGTGCTCCAGTGGGGAACAGTAGAAGTGACCATGCAGGTTGACACTGGCTCCCCCGTGTGCATGATTTCTAGGGACACATACTCCAAGAATGATAAGGTCTGGCCACCCCTACAGGAAACTACCAAGGAGCTCCACTGCTACCTGGGGAAACTACCAGTGCTGGGAGTCCTGGCGATGCCAGTAAGGCATGGAAACAAACAAGTGCAAGGACAACTGTACATTGTGGATTGTACGGGTCTATCCTTCTGTGGTCGAGACGTCATCTAAGCATTGAACCTCCTGGAAGAGCATCTAATTGGGAGCATGCAAACAAGTGACAACCAAGTGCAGGACAAGGTCAAGAAGCTGAAAGAAGACTTCAAGGATCTCTTCTAGCCGGGGACGGGGTTGATGAAGGGACCTGTGGCCTACGTCAACTTAAAGAAAGAGGTAAACCCCAAGTTCTGCAAGGCCTGGTCTCTTCCCTATGCCCTACGTGACAGGGTAGGAGAAGAACTGGCCTGAATGTGCAAAGAGGGGATATTGCCTCTGGTATTCCACAGTGAGTGGGCAACGCCAGTAGTGCCAGCGACCAAGGCCAATGGAGGTCTCAGGATCTGTGGGGACTTTAAAGTAACCCTGAACATGGCATGCGACATCGAACAATACCCACTTCCCAAAGTGGAGGACATCTTTGCACCTCTGAAGGATGGCCATTGGTTCTCGAAATTGGATCTTCGGGAAGCCTACTGCCACGTGGCCTTAGATGAAAAATCCAGACAGGCAGCAGTGCTCAACACCCACAAGGGTCTCTTCTGCTACAACCGGCTGCCATACAGCATCGCTTCAGCACCAGCGATCTTCCAAAGGAAAATGGAGGCGTTGTTGAAGGACATTCTGGGAACGCAGGTTTTCTTGGATGATGTCTTGGTGGCAGAAGGCAAAGACGAATTTGGGCAGACGCTGCGGAAGGTTCTGCAGAGATTCAGGAAAAATGGCATCCGACTGCGGGAAGAAAAATGTGTGTTTGGTGAAGGTTACCTACCTCGGACATAGGATCGACCGACGTGGGCTGCATCCATCAGAAAAGAAAGTGGACGCCATCGTGAAGGCTCCTGCACCTCGCAACCTCCAAGAAATTCGGTCCTTTTTAGGACTCATCACATACTAAAGGAGTTTCCTGCCTAGGATGTCTACACTTCTGGCTCCGCTCCACAACCTGCTGAGGAGTGAGGTGAAATGGAAATGGGGAACAGAAGAACAGGCTGCATTCGACGGGGCGAAAACAACCTTGCAGAAGTCCAACCTTCTTGTGCACTATGACCCAAGTAGGGAACTCATTTTGGAGTGTGATGAGTCACCAGAAGGCCTAGGAGCAGTGCTGTCTCACTGCGTGAATGGCATCGACAGGCCTATCGCCTTCCAGTCAGGATCCCTTACCAAGGCTGAGAAGAACTATTAGCAGCTGGAGAAGGAAGCGCTTGCGCTCATTTTTGGGGTAACGAAGTTTAGGGATTACCTTCTCTGCAGGAGCTTCACCCTAAAGACAGACGACAGACCACCAACCTTTGGTGGGATTGTTCAAAGAAAGCAAATCGATTCCAAGCATGGCTGCGGCACGCATCTAGAGGTGGGCACTAACGCTTGGAGCGTGTAAGTATGTGATCAAGTACAAGCCTGGGTCACAAAACCTGAACGCAGACACTCGGTCGTCTGCCGATGGCAACTGCCCCAGATGGAGCAGAAACCGAAGAAGCCCAAGATATGGGGGTCTTCACAGCGGACATGTTGGACGCCAGCCCAGTGTCCAGACGACAGCTAGAAGACCTGACGGGGAAGGACCCAATTATGCAGAGCCTACAAGACACGATCAGCAGAAGTTGACCAAAAAGACTTTTGGACAGTTGCCTTCAGCCATACTGGCATCATCGTAATGCACTCACGCTGGAAGGGGCCCTCATCTGCATGGGTGGAAGAGTGGTGATTCCAGAATGTGCACGGAGGGCATTTCTATTGGAGCTTCATGATACTCACAAGGGAGTCAATGCAACTAAGGCACTGGCACGCACGCTGGTGTGGTGGCCAGGCATTGACCGTGAGGTGGAAGAGTTGCTTCACCGGTGCACAGTGTGCCAACGGGCGGCTCCCATGCCACCGAGTAGGGAGCCACTGGCATGGCCAGCAACTAAACAGCCGAGGTCAGGCTGTTTGTGCAAGGAACTTTGGTAATGGACCTCGCTGGCTGAGTGGAACCATCACGTAAGAACTTGGAAACCGCATGGCGCTGGTGCAAACACCTGGTGGGATGATCCGAAGACATCATGACCAGCTACGCCTGAGGCTTGAGGTCAACACACCTGACCCTCTAGATCAAACCAGTGAGCGCAATGAGGATTTAACGTTAGAATGGGGCCAATCCTCAGTGGCTCCAGAGACTTCAAGTCTCTGGAGCCACTGAGCATTGTTTCGGAGAACGGCATTGTTTCGGAGAACGGGTGCTGGCAGAAGAATGGTCTCCAACGGCCAACTCTGCCAGCAACACCAGCGGTCGAACCAACGAGAGCCCCTGGGAGACAGACGGTCTCCAACACAACCATGGCAAATCGTCACCAATGACTTCTTCCATCTCCACAGTGTCACCTACCTACTTGTAGTGGACTACTTTAGCAAGTACATTGTGATAGAGCAAAAGGGGGACACCTCTGCTATCAAAGGATCGCAACCCTAAAAAAGGAGTTTGCTTGATTCGGCATTCTAGAAGGGGTCTGTGACAACGGCCTGCCATTCAACTCTGAAGCATTCAAAGGGTATCTCAAGTGCTTGGACATGACAAATAATCCAAGTTCTCCTGATTACCCACAGTCGAATGAACTTGCAGAGAGGTCAGTTCAAAGAATGAAAACAGCTTGACCAAGGCACCGAAGGAAGGCAACGACCTGTCTCTTGTTCTTATGGAGCTTAGGGACACACCGATGGATCAGCTCCTGTTCCCATTGGAACTGCTAATGGGCCGCAGGATCACAACCCTCAAGCCAGCTGCTCCGCGTTAACTTGAGCAGCACTACAACATCAGGGAGGTTCAAGCACGCCTTCAGTTCCATCAAAAGTGTCAACACCGACATGGTGACGCACACAGCAAACCACTACGTCCTCTGAGTCAAGGCGAGAGAGTCTATTTCCGTCGAAACCACAAATGGGAACCCGGAATTG